TGGGCCACATTTTATACTTCTCTTTATCTGTGTCAAATAAATATATAAAATGAAGCTTGATTTTTAAATTCAAAGATGGCAATGTTAGGAGACTGCTAAAAACCTTTCAGAGGCATCAGTAAAGGACTTTTGAAATACAAATTAGACATGTAAAATTGCTTTTGACAGAATATTTGCTTTAGACAATTAAAGTAGTTGATTTTATCAGAAACATTTACATTAAATAGGTTACTTCTTTTTTTTTTTTTTTTTTTGAGACAAGATCTTGCTCTGTAGCTCAGGCTGGCATGCCTACTTACTGTGTAGGCCAGGCTGCCCTCAGATTCACAGTGATCTTCCTACCTTAGCCTCTGGAGTGCGGGGATTACAAGCGTGTGCCACCATGCTCAGCTAAATACGTTGCTTTTGATTGAAGACTGTTGCAACCATTTTGTAAAGAAGCAACAATTGGTATCAAGAATCTTTAAACTTTTTGTACCTTTTTATATACCTACTTCTGGAAATGTGCCCTAAGAAAATAATCCTAAACTAGAAAAAGAAAAAAATCTTTATATGCAAACATTCACAACAGGATTATTTGTTATATTAATGTTCAAAAATAATGAGTGGAGAAACACTATATATACATATATATGAGAGACAATATTGTATAACTTAAAAATGTAGTTGATAAAATTTGTATCAACATGGGGAAATGCTATAATACATAATACATGGGAAAAATCAGTATGCAAAAATGTGAGTTAAAAAAACAATATGCAAAAATGTGATTTAAAAAAAGAAATGGAAGGGAAAATACCAAAAATATAAGATGAGTTATTTTTAACAGTAGGTTTGCCATTTGGATTTTTCTTTTCTATTTTATTTTTTCTGTTTTTCAAATAATCAAAATTAAGCAGATTTTAATTTTAGGAAAGAAAACAATGGCATTTCTAACATAAGGGCATCCAAGATTTCAGTTTCAAGCATAATTTTTACAAGTATCTTAGTGATCCAGTGTCTGAAGCATGTGTATTTTGTCAGGATAGTCCGATCCCTGCACCCCTGAATTATTGTCAAATCTAAAGAGTGATGTTACCCTTGGTAACTGCTTTAAGTCCTTTCCTCAAACTTTGTAGTTTATGTTGTCCCATGAAGCCCTGGAGCAGTTTAGATTTCTGCAGAGCTGAGGATAAACTGTGAATTGGGGGAAGAAGTAGAATTATAGCTTCCTTTCCTCCACCTCATGGCCAGAATACTCATTACCTCAGCCGTCCTAACTCAGGCCTTCCTCCAGGAAACGGCAGCAGCACTGGCTATGGGCCCCTCCAATTAAGCTGATCGGTTGCTAGAGAATCTGGTGGGGATTTTTTTACCCTTAGGAATTACAGAGAGGTAAGTCAGACCATGCACACATAAGTACCTAGGCAGCCATTGGGCACATTTATGATCAAATAAAATGAATACATTTTGCTCAGTGCTAGAATAAAGTAGCATGGCATACTAAGCTTTAAATCTGTTTAAATTCCTATTTGGGAATATCTGCCCTAGAATAACTGGTTTATTTAAATCAGGTTAAAGGGCAGAAAGGAACAATGACAATGAACAGAATCAGATAATACCACTAAACAGGGAAAGAGAATGTCCTGAGAAACAGAACTGAAACTTAAGTGATAGGAAGACAATAAATAGAAACTGAAACTTAACACAATTTTTAAAAAGTGCTGATCTTAACAGAGCCCTAGCAGGTAACTATTTATGAACTAGTACTATATTACCAAAAGTAAAATAAATTATGTAAGTTTCCCTAAGGAATATTTTGGAAACGAAAGTCTTAACTAGTTCTGTGATCTTGTTGAAGTCTCTGCATCTCAGTTTACTCATCTGTGAAAACACGAGTAACAGGATGTGTTAACCTTGATAAAATACAGAACCTCAGTGACTGAGGGGTCCTTAGAGATCATACCCCCTCCACTGGTGCAGGTCCTGTCATGGTCACTACAGTGAGCTCCCAGCAGCCAGAGTTTCTCTGTAGCCCACTGTGAGCTCAGGCAAACTGAGTCCCAGGCAACAGGAGGGAGGCAGTGTGAGAAAGGCTGGGAGGACATTCTGCTGATCCAATTTCTGAATATGGCTGTGTGAGGACCACTGAGTGGTCCCAGGCAACTTAGGGCACATGCAACCATCACCATCAGCAGGTGAGTCTCCCTGTATAAAGCAGTGATGAGTGAGGAACATGAGACAAGGATGGGTACCACCAGGGTGCATGGCCTGTGCAGATAGGACCTCATGCTCAGAAGGGGCCTAAAGGCTCTGCTGTTGCCATCTAGAAATTCTTAATTTTTTTTAATAGAGGGCCCCACAATTTCATTTTGTACTGGGCTTCACACATTATGTAGCCAAAATCCAAGATCTGTCCACAGGGGATAAGAGGGAGCAGAGGGAGATTAAGAACTGCCCTGGCATGTGACTTTTTTCTCCACATCCCGGTAAATGACAGACTTCGGCTGCCTGACATCCTGCCCGCTCAGGTCTGACTCTCTTGCGAAGGACTCACCTGAGAGTTTGTGAGGACTGTGGCTCATTTCTACAGAGGCAGCCCCACACATGGGGCTTAGTATCTAGGAGAGAGACAAAGGCCTGGTGGTGGTTGTCACTGTTTATTTTGTTGAGGTAAAATTTGTACAACATAAAATTAACCAAATTAAAAGGAAAGAAGAGAAAGGAAAAAATATGAGAAAAGGAAAAAATGGAAACAAAGTATGTGTAAATAGGGAAGGGTTGAGGGGATGAAGGGAGGGCAGGGGAATAGGGAAAAAATAAGAACCAAGATATATCATGTAAAGGTACAAGTTCCCAATGATAAATGTAAATGTATACCTAAAATGTACCAATAAAAGAATTTAAGGGAAAAAAACCCAGGTTAAAATATAGAGTTCCATGGCACTCAGTACCCTCACTATGTTGTGTGATAGTCAGCTCTATGTAGTTCCAAAATGTTTTCATCACCTCAAAAGGAAGCCCTGTACCCACTGAGCAACCACTCCTCACTGCCCCTCACCTCAGTTCCCGGTAGCCACAAATTTGTTTTCTGTTTCTATGCAATTATCTATTCTGGTTATGTTCTATACATGGAATCATACAATATGTGACATTTTATATCTGGCTTCTTTCACATAGAAATGTTTTTGAGGTTCATCCACATTGTAGAATGGCGAAGCATGTAGCTTTCTGTCTACAGATGCTTCTCGACTTACTATAGGGTTACATTGCCATAAGTCCATAGTAAGTTGAAAATTTTGTAAGTAAAAAGTGTATTTAATGTACCTAGCTTATGGAACATCACAGCTGAGTGACACGGTACTACTGTCAAGCAATTGATTCTGCTTTTGCCTTTGGAGCAGACTGGAAGGTGCCACCCAGTATCTCAAAAGAGGTTCTTACTGCATATAGATAGTCTGGGAAAAGACCAAAATTCAAAATTTGCCATGTGGATTCAGCTGCATGTGTATGGCTCTTGCATCAGTGTAGTAAAAAAAAAAAATACGTCAAACCATTGTAAACCAAGGACTGTTTTTATATGCCACAGGTTGTTTATCCATTTATGTTATTGCTCACATAGATTGTTTCCACCTTTTGGCTATTGTGAATAAGGCCGCTATGAACATTTGTGTGCAAGTGTTGAGTACCTGTTTTCAGTTTTTGTGGGTATATACCTAGAATGCTGGGTAATATGGTGATTTAAAGAACCGTCAAGTTGTTTTCCACAATGGCTACATCATTTTACACCAGGAATGCACAAGGGTTCCAATTTCTCTACATCCTAACCACATTTGTTATTTTTCCTTTTTTATCCCTAACTGTACCATCCTGCTGGATATAAGTTGTGTCTTATTGTCGTTTTGATGTTCATTTCCTTAATGGCAAATGATGCTGAGTGTTTTTTCATGTGTTTCTTGGTCAATTATATATTTTCTTTGGGGAAATGTTCATTCAATTCCTTTGCCTATTTTTGAATTTGATTGTGTCTTTTTTGTTGTTCAGTTGTAAGAGTTTTAAAACTCTAATCAGATAAGTGATTTGTAAGTATTTTCTCCTGTTGTGTTGTTAGCTTTTCACTTTCTTAATAATGTCCTTTTATGTGCAAAAATTTTAATTTTTATGAAGTCAAATTGATTTTTTCTTGTATTCCTTGTTCTTTTGTGTTATTTCTATGAATTGATTGCTACGTCCACATTCATGAAGATCTACCCGTATATTTTCTTTTTTTTTTTTTTTTTTGGTTTTTTGAGACAGGGTCTTGCTATGTAGTTCAAGTTGTAGCCCAGACTGGCCTCAAACTTGCAGCAATTCTACTTCAGCCTCCTAAGTGCTGAGATTATAGGAGTGTGCCACCACATTCTATATTCTCTTCTAAGAGAAACTTCATAATTTTAGCTTCATAATTTTAGCTTCTTAATTTAGGTCTTTGATTCATTTTAAGTTAATTTTTTTATATGCAGTAAAATAAGGGTCCATTTTCATTCTTTCTCATGTGGATATCTAGTTGTCCCTGTACCATTTGTTGAAAGACTATTCTTTCCCCATTTTTTGCCTTGGCATCCTTGTCATTTAGCCATAAGATATATGAGTTTGCTGGGCATGGTGGCATATCCCTGTAATCCCAGCACGTGGAGAGGCTGAGACAGGAAGATTTCAAATTCAAGCCCAGCCTGGGCAATTTAGGGAGACCCTGTCTGTGAATAAATGAATGAATGACTGAATGAATGAATGAATATAGCTCAATGTGAAGGCTCTGGGTTCACTTCCTAATAATGGGAAGAAAAAGATGTATGGGTTTATTTGTGGACTGTCAATTTCCATTGATCTGTATGTCTTGTCATTTTTGTTGAGTGTGTAAAGAAAGGTCAGGATGGGCTATCACCTGCCTTGCACAGAGGCATGGTAGATAGCATGTCACTACCTTCTGGCCAAAGATCAGATACAGACATGTCTTCATCCATTTTGTGTTGTTGCCACAGAATACCTTCACTGTTCTGAAGGCTGAAAGATTGCAGATTGGGCAGCTGCATCTGACGAAGCCCTGGTGCTGCTTCAGCTCATGGCCGAAAGCAGAAGGGATTGCATGGCCAGAGAGGAGACTAAGAGAAAGCCAAACTTACTGTAACAACTTGCGCTCAAGGTAACTAATCCAGTCCCACAAGAGTGAGAACTCATCCTTGCAAGAAAGGTATTGAGCCACACACCAGGGATCTACTTTGGTGACTGAAATACCTCCCACTTAACCCCATCTTCCAACCCTGCCATATTGAGGAAATAAAGTTCCAGTATTTGAATTTGGAGAGGTGGAGCACACTCAAACCGATAGCAACAATATTTGGTAAATTTGATAGAAGAATAGAGCTGTTACTATTAAGCACAAATACTAAAAGTATATATGCTAAGACAACAGTCTAGGGACTTTTTCAATAACTTGAAATAACTAAATAAATAGATAAAACCTATGCGACCTTACTTGGCAGACCTGTCCTAGAAGCAATAGTTTTTACTATCTTGGTGGATAAACTCTTTCCACAAATACAAGATAAACATTCAAGGAAGGGCAGATCTATTAAGTACACCAACAACAACTCAGAACCTGGTGTTATGTGTGCTAAAACCAGAAAGAAATTAGGATATACTAACCATCCCCCTATTTTGTTTTTGCAGTGTGACAGTTTACTTATTTTCCTCTTTAATGCAGCTATACTTTGTAGAGGTAAATTTAGTTTATGTCCATTCAATAAGGTTGGCTAAATAGTTTAATATTTTAATTACATCAGCAATTATTACTCATTTATATTTCATTATTATATGTTCATATTATTTAGGTGATTATAAATTTATATTTATTATTGATTTATTAATTAATATTTTAAAGTAATTAACCCTTTATTGAGTGTTTATTTTGTGCACCATGTTAGATGATGACGTTTATTCATTCTTTCAACAAACACTGTATGAGTATCTCTTATGGGCCACACACAGGCCCTTGACACTAGGGTGGGACATACATAATCTCTACCTTCCTAGGGCTGCTGGCTCCTCTTACTGCTGCAGTCCCAGACAAGGCAAGGTAGCAGAGGTTCTAAACTGTTTCCACTGCTTCACCTACCCGCTCTGGTTCTATTGATTCTGCACCCTGAGGCCCAAGACTCAGCTCTCCAACTAGTCAGGCCCATGAACCCACATCCTTTTTTGTCTCTCAGTTCAGTCAAGACTTATAGGAGTTTTTCATATGGAATTTTTCTAGGATACTAAGGGAAATATCAAAATAACAAGAAGAAAAAAGAAAACATTGACAATGAAAAATAGACACGTTTATTGAACGTGGAACCCAAGACTATTAAGAATTTTTCCATTTCATCTTTCCGCAAAGGTCTTTCCCCTATATCTAGTTCTCCTTACACCATTCCAATACTCCTATCATACTCCTTCTTTGGTTTCAGAACCTTTTGGATTTGCTTATAAATACACCCTTCTTCAGTTCCATGCCCATTCCCAACCTCTGCAGGGGTGGACAGAATTACAAAATGAGGCCCATAGGCCATTTGTCTAAATATTTAAAAGTTATACATCCAGTTAACAAACCATTAAATAGCATGACAGAGCATTCCTCCTTGATAAATAGCATAATTACATGCATAGCCACAACAACCTCGAATTTCCTGCCTCTGCCTATGGCCTACCTCTAGTGCTTATGCCATCAGGAGATTTTCATATATTATGGATTCTCCAGCCAGCATGGCCATAGTCAGTATTATTTCTTACAACTGCATGTGAATCTACAATTATTGCAATGGAAATTTAATTTTTATAAAAAGAAAGGAAGGAGGAAGAAAAAGAGATGAGGTGGAGAGGGGATAAGTGTGTGTGAGGTATGTGGTTGTGCCTGTGACCAATAGACCCAAAGCAAAGGCACCCTAATGCTGGGCTTTCTACTCTAGAGGCCTCCCCCTACCACCAGGCTGGCCCTTTTTTACTGGGTATCCTAGTCCATTCTGTGTTGCTATTGCAAAATACCTGAGACTAATTACTTATAAGGAAAAGAGGTTTATTTTTATTTTGGCTCATAGTTTTGAAGGCTGAAAAGTCCAAGCTCAGGTGGTTACACCTGGCCCAGGCAGCTTCATTCCTCATTAAAACATGGTTGATGGGGCCAGGGATTTAGCTCAGTGGTTCCAGCACCTGCCTTGCAAGCACAAGGTCCTGAGTTCAATCCCTGGTACCAAAAAAACCAAAAAAAGCATAGTTAATGGCATCACATGGCATGGGAGCATGCGAGAAAAGTGAGTGGCTGGTGAGAAGGAGGCCAAACGTGTGGAGTGGCCATGGTTATAACCACCTGCTCTCATGGTAATTAACCCAAACCTGTGAGGGCAAGAACTCACTCCCCTGAGAAAAGCATTAATCTTTCCTCAGGGCCCCAACATCTGTCTACACTGCTTCACTGGAGACCAAGCCTCAACATGGGATTTGGTGGGGACAAACCATTTCTAAGCCATAGCACAGGGCAAGGAGCCCAGAGGGCAAGGGTTCTTGCTTGATACTTGCTCAGTCCAGAGTCTTGGATTCCCTGCTGAAATGGCCTCCAGCCCATTTCCAGGGCCTCTGTGGGCCTTTCCTTTGGGCCCATCCTCCTGAGTAGGTCTTCCTGCAATGACAGTGTGCATGCCTCTAAACCCAAGGGAACCAGCTTGCAGAGAGCATGAACAGAGCTTGATTTGAAACATGACCTAGGATGCTGGTGGCCCTACACAGCAGTGACCTAAAGGGGGTACAGAGTGGGCACATCATATCCTTCCATTTAGCCATAAAATTCTGGAAAGAGGAGCTACAAGAAGGTAAAGTCAGCCACTATACACTTCCTGAACTCTTGAATGGAATATGATTCATAAAATACAGAAGAGGCAAAGGTCAACTATTCCTGCTCCAGTCAACTGCATGCCATTTTGACATCAAACAAAATATCAGACACCAATCCAGGGACTAAAACATTTAAATCTGACATAAAGCAAAGTATGCTTCATTATTTCACTCTAACCACAGGCTGTTTGTTGTTCTTTGGAAAGAAGGGCCATTGATTTTGGTATCCAACACCCAACAGCTCCAAGTACAGTAACGTTTTCCCGGCCCATTTGGCCCAGCCAGGATACTTGACCAGAGACCACAGGATAGAAGCTGCTTCTTGTTTCAAGTCCTGTCAGGTGAGTGGCTTCCTGGTGTGTGCAACAGCCCCATTCTCTGGAAGAAATTCACCCTAAGGTCTGGGCTCTTACAGTAAAGAGAAATAGGACAGAGGGATTAGCTGGTCTCAGAAAACTGCTTAGGAGACTTTTCTCGTGTTTAATATTAGTTAATAGGATCATTTTGCAGTTACCAAGTGTTGAAAGTTATAGAGTTTTGAGCACGTCTTTTTTTTTTTTATTCTGCTTTAATTTGTATTTCACAGCCAACTTTTGGAATTACCGTCTTAGGCATTTATTTGGGCACTACCTAGTTCCCCTCTCAGAAAGATTTTATAACAAATTATCTCCCTTTAAGGTTACTGTGTTTTGGCCCTAAAACTCTTCAAAATGCATTCAATTAGACAAAATTTCTCTTGGGAAATTGTTAGAGTAAAAAAATAAATTAGGTGGGAGATATTTAATGTGGAGGGCACTGTCCAAGTGCACTGGAAACATGACTTCTGCTTGTGGCTGCAGGGGGCCAAGGCCTTAACACTTTAAAAATAATTCCTTCAAGATTGGTCTGATGAATAGGGCCTGACACACAGCAGGAGATCAATACATATTTGTTGAATAGAGCAGCCTCCCAACTGGTGAGCCTCAGCTCTGCAAAAGGTGGTGGTAGCTGGTGCCCTCTGACAGGGTGCTGGCTTCTGTTGCAAATATTATTATTGGCTACATGTGCCATGTTGTAAATTACCAGGTTCAGCCCCACCTACACTTCTCATTCTGAAACATACCTTGAGCTCCTCCAGAGAAGGGAAGAGACTCATTTGTATTTACAGAATATCTTTAAAACAGCATCAGGCCCTGCATCTAGTAGGCACAGGATAAATGTTGAGGAGAATGCAAGCCTGCTTTTTAAAACTTTCTCCAAGTCACCTATTAGAAAGTTGAGCAATACAAGATCAAGGATGGAACTATTGATCCTCCAGGTGCCAGGTTGACAATAATTTATTAATCAATATTGGAGGGATAAGCCTAAAAAAGACTTTGGAGGGACATGACAGCCTTTTAAGCACTGGAAAGCTTGTTCCAGGGGCAAGCTAAGAAACAATGAGTGAAAAAATTTAAAAAGATACACTTCTCCCAAAAACAGTATCATGAGTGAGGGGTTGGGATGGGGGCATGCTCATTATTGCTGGAATAAGGGTAAATGTACAAGTTTCCTAAAACAGAATTTGGCAATATGTATTAAAAACATAAATATGTGCAGAAATTTTGACCCAGGAATTTGGCTTCTAGATTTTGTTTATGGACATTTAATCAGATTCACAAGGGTATATGTACAAAGGTGTTCACACAGTATTGATTATAATAGTAAAATATTTAGAAAAACATGAGCTTATGATAATAAGTGACAATATTACTTTCCCATTGCTGGGACAAAATGCCTACAACTTAAAGGAGATGTTCATTTTGTTTCAAAATTTCAGAAGTTTCAGTCCGTGGTTGGCAGACTCAAACACAGAAGGGATAGAGGAAGTGCCAAGCAGAGGAAAGCTGATCACATCATGGTAGCCAGGAAGCAGAGTGAGAAGAGAAGAGCTAGGGAAAGAACAATACCCTTCCAGGTCACAACCTTAGCAATCTGCCTCTTCTTACTAGGTTCCACCTCCTAACAGTACATTCAGATATGGGTTTATCAGTAGATTAATCCACCAATGAATATAGCACCCCATTGATCCAGTCACCATTTGAAAGTACCACCTTTCAGCACATGAGAGTTTTGGAAGACATTCTAGATCTAAACCATAACAGAGTTTAAATAAATCACGATATATTCATCAAGGAGAATATTATACAGCTAGGAAAATGATAATTTAGAGCCATACTTGAGTGGAAATATGTTTGTGCTATATGATAAAGTAGAAAAAAACAAGAACAAATGGTACAATATTAATTGTGTGTGTGTGTCTGTGTGTGTGTATCACTGTCTCTCAGAGATATTATCAAAGGATATACCTATCAAAATCCTATTGTTGAGAATACAAAGGCCTTCAACCTTTTAGTTTATATCTGCTATTTCTAAATTGTCAACGGTGGGCATGTGAAATAATAAAATCTAGGACTGATGAAAATGTGCCCTTCTGCTCATTAAAAAGGTGAGCTTTTGGTCATTTAAAGTGCTTAGTCAGGTTGAGGCCTGGCGCTAGCTCCAGCGGTACGAGTGGAAGAGACAGAGCTTTGCAGAAGCGGCAGAATAGGAGGTCAACAGCATTCCGGAGATGAAACTTCTGGGTCACATAACACCACCCCAAGCAATGAGGAGGTGAGCCACACAGGCTCAAGCAGCACACACACCCACACCCCATGTTGAAATGAGAAGACACATAAGTCTCAAAACCAGACGTCCAGATGACCTACAGCATCCCCAAAGGGAAATGAGATGGAACACTCTGATACTCACCCACCTGGACTCCCTAAACAGGCAACAAAAGAGGATATGGAAAAAGTGAAATCAGAAATAATTTCTCAGATAACAGCAGAGATTGTGCCCATACTGCAAGATATGATTAATAAAACTAGAGGGGACACAGATAAAAAAATAGAGGAGTTGAGGAACATGATGGAATCCCAACATAGGAAACAAATGGAATCCATAAAACAGATGCAAACAGCTATCCACGAGATTAAAAATTCCACTGAAAGTTTACACAGCAGAATGAGCCAATGTGAGGACAGAATTTCAGATATAGAATATAAGATTGCAATTAGTGACCAGGAAAAGAAAAATTGCTTTGAAATAGTAAGGGACCATGAGAAATAAATCCAGCAGCTGATAGACGATGCAAAGAAGAATAACATAAGACTGATTAGAGTCAATGAAGAAACAGGAGAGAGTGTAGATGACATTAAAAAAACTGTTTACAGAAGTAATGGCAGAAAACTTCCCAAGCAGGGGGAAAGAACTTGACATAGAGATAGGAGAGGCATATAGGACTCCAACTAGCCTTGATCAAAAAAAATCTACACATAGGCATATAATTGTTAAGATTGCAGAAACCCAAAAGAAGAACAAAATTCTACAAGCAATGAGAGAAAAGAAACAAATCACATACAAAGGAAAGCCCATGAGTTTCACAATAGACTTCTCAGTGCAAACCCTCAAGGCAAGAAGAGCTTGGAGTGTTATGTTTCAAGCCCTAAAGGAAAACAACCTCTGACACAGATTGATGTACTCTGCAAAACTATGTTTCAAAATTGATGGAAAAATAAAATACTTTCATGACAAAGAGCACCTTAGAAACTTCATGAATACCAAACCAGCACTCCAAAGCATTTTAGACAATATCCTAGGAAAAGACAACAAGGATCACAACCCCAGGAAGCCCAGCAGAATGAATCCATCAGGCACGACAAGAAATTAAATGCTAAGGGGGAGAATCCAACAAAAAGAAAAAGTCATGACAGTGATAAGTCAATACATATCAGTTATAACCATTAATGTTAATGGTCTCAACTCACCAGTCAAAAGAAATGGACAGAATGGCAGAATGGGTCAAGAAGCAAGATCCAACAATATGCTGCACACAAGAAACACACTGAATTCAAAAAGAAACTCATAGATTGAAAGTTAAAGGGTGGAAAACAATACTCCATGCAACAGGAACCCCCCCAAAAAGCACAAGTAGCTATCCTCTTTCCAGATCAAGTGGATTTCAAACCAACACTGATGAAGAGAGACAAAGAAGGGGACTACATCCTTGTAAAGGGAACAGTCCAACAGGAAGAGATGACAAACATAAACATATATTCACCAAACACTAGTGCACCCAACTATATAAAACAAATACTAACGGACATGAAAAATCATATAAGCACTAATACAATAGTAGTGGGGGAAACTCAGTACCCCACTGTGACAAATAGATCAACTAGACAAAAAAAAACAAGCAAAGAAATACTAGAACTCAAATTCTTTTTTTTCTTTTTTAGTACTGGGGATCAAACTCAGTTCCTTGCGCTTGCGAGGCAGGTGGCAGAACCACTGAGCTAAATCCCCAGCCCTAGAACTCAAATTCTTGAACAAATGGACTTAACAGATGTTTACAGAGTGTTCCACACCACAAAATCAGAATGCATATTCTTTTCAGCTGCACACAGGTCATTCTCCAAAATAGACCACATACTCGGTCACAGAACATATTTAGGTAAGTGCAAAGGAATTGAAGTTATCCCCTGTATATTATCAGACCATAGTGCGCTGAAATTGGAGATCAATAGCAAAAGAAACTGCAAAAATTTCATCAACACATGGAAATTGAACAACACACTTCTGAGTAACCAATGGGTCACAGGAAATTGAAGAAATCAGACAGTTCCTTCAGTTGAATGAAAATGACAATACAACATATCAGAATCTATGGGACACAATGAAAGCAGTCTTATGAGGGAAATTCTTACCAGTGACTACTCATATTAGGAATACAGAGGGAGCCCAATGAAACAACCTGATGCTGAACCTCAAGCTTCTAGAAAAAAAAAGAGCAGGACAAACCCAAAGCTCATACAAGGGAGGAAATTATAATGATCAGAGCAGAAATCAATGCAGTGGAGACT